ACAATCACTGGCGAGCGGGAAGGAGCAGGTGAGAACTCAACGCGCAGCCACAAACAGCCTGTCATTTCAGAGACATGGAAGTGGTCAGAACGAAATACGAAGTACGACGCGACAGTGGCATGTATTCAGTACCAAAGTACCTTTCTTTTGTAACTGGTTTGCGATGCTGTATGAAGGGGCTGATGTGGGAAAGAGCGTGCAATCACAGAGCACAACGAAATACGACAGAAAGGGCTGAAATGCAAGAGCGATCCGGGGCCCAAGCCATGCCACACCAACACGGGAAGTGGAGTGCTGTCATCCAAAGGGGTGGTCGCCTTTTTTCTGCGTCGTTGGTAAAACCAAGGAAGGACCACAGGACCAACACTCGCGCCATGGTCCCTAATTGGGTTTGGCGGGAAAGAGCGACGGACATTTTATGGGGCCTTGGGCAAATGGTGTTGGAAGCAACGAGGCAACTGAAGGCTGGCATTGGGTCTAGTCCGTTTTGGGCTTTACAATGCGAGTTTCGAAATCCACTTCCACAGATCATCGTGAGACGACGGCAACCAACGGCCCACGCAATCAGTCATTTAGCTACACATTGGTCCTTCGAATTCCCTTCGCTTTCACCGCCTGGTTATGCACGTGTCGTAATCACGACAAATCTGTGACGATGCCCGTCGGTTCTTGTCGCCTGCTTGGCGCTGCTACGTCTTCCCGAAAAGGAAGAACAACGCGAACTCGTGTAGAATCTGTCGCGGATGTGGATGTCATGTCGATGAAGTCAACAGTGGACGTCCGCATTGGCATGTCATGTCTTTTGATCCCCTGGAAAGGTACCGAGGCAGGACGCGACAAGAAACCCTTGTCCTGAAGGAGATTGTCCCATCTGGAAATGGCTGTTTTGTTCTAGACAATATGTGGACCAACATAGACGTACATAAGTGGCACTTCCCGACTGCAATATCATAGTGCCAGGCAACAGCTTTTTTGTTCGTCTTCGGCACTGAAACCCCCAGGAGAATGATGGCGAGGACGTCAACAGTCCCACGTCACTATGAAAGACGAACCAAGCTCCAATGCCATACTTGTCGTATTTATTCGAAAAAAAGATGCGGCCGAGCTACAACGTCCTAAAACAACCATCCTTTGACGTTTCTCACTCGTTCTCCGCGGGCTTTCCGCCAAATACCACATTTCAATCCCTGGATTATGAAATCATTCGCTCCGCCACCAGTCACTCCGCCAACGCATCCTCACTTCTTCGACAGGATAAAGATCTCACCCTCGGCCGAGTTGTCGCTGCCAACAAACAGCCCGCGGCCCGCCGGGTCCCAGGACGCCGCCGTCAGGCGGATGCAGTTGCTTGTGGTCAGGCCGTTGGCCGTGCACGAGCCCGGGTTCGAGGCGGCCCAGATGTCGTTGTAGCCCTTCATGCTGTCGGCGGGCGCGACGGGGTCGTAGTTGCCGTTGCCGAGCTTGGTGAAGGGAATCTGGACGACCTTGAAGCCCGTGGCCGGCTGGCGGTCCCAGGAGCCGTGGAAGGTGACGTACATGTTCTTGGCGCCGTCGTCAAACGTGTTCATGATGGGCGCGCTGTGGGCCTGGAAGGTGAGGCGCGGGCCCTGGGCCTTGCCGTTGCAGGTCTCGTCCGAGTAGCTGCTGTTGGGCGCGAGGACAAAGTGGCTGCCGGTCTTGAGGACCTTGTTGTCCGAGAATGCCGACGGGTCCCAGACGGCGAAGCACTGCGGGTAGCCGTACCAGGCATCACGGACCTTGAGAGGATCGCCGACTGGCGAGTTGTTAACAGGCGCTTGTTCCTCTCCACATTTTCTCCCAGAGGGGTGACTCACGGTAGTTGAGCTTCTCGGCCGGGTTGTCCTTGTGAATATCCGTGCGGCGGCCGCTCACCGTGCGGGTAAAGTCCTACGACGCAGTATCAGCAGGCGCTCACGCAAACAGACGCGTCGCTCACGACTCGGCCCTCACGACCCCCCCACGCTTTCACTTCACTTACATCGCCGCTGTTCTCGACGCCCCAGATGTGGCCGTTGGGGTCCGCCGTGAAGCCAATCTCGTTGCGCAGTCCGTACCCCAGCACCTCGCCGTCCTTCTTGTAGTTGTAGCCGGCCGCCGGCGCCTTGCTCATGTCAAAGATCTTGACAATCGCGCGGCCCGTCGCCTTGTCTTGCGCGGCCATGTCAAAGTTGGCGTTGCTGCCCACCTGCAGCAGCACCAGGTTCGGCTGCGACGCCACCACCAGCAAGTTGCGCGTCGAGTGGATGCCCTGGTCCATGCCGCCAATCGCCGTCTTCTGGTCCGACACCTTCATCGTCACCGGGTCGTACGTCCACGAGAACGCCGCGCGCTCCGAGCTGGCGTACAGCGTCTTGCCGTCGGGCGTCAGCGCCAGACCCTGGTTGAGGGCGATGTTGCTGATGAGCATGGTGGTGCTGTTGACGCAGCCGTCGGTGCCAAACGTGTGCACCGAGATGCCCTTGCCGGCCTGCGACACGAGCATGTGGCCGAGCGGGTCCCAGATGACGATGCGCACCTGCCGGAGCCCGCCTAGGATCTTGGTGACCTTCCAGCCGTCGGCCACAGTCATGGCCGGGAAATGGGGCGCCGTGACGCCGCTGCAGGACGCCGGCAGCGGCAGCTTCGGGATGTCGGCGCTGGCCAGCCCAGCAAGGGCCGCCACGGGCAGTGTGAGACGCATGGCGGTGTCGATCCGTGGTGTGTCTCTGGGGTAGATATCAAACGCAACCGCCGATGACAATCAGAATACGAGTGGCAGAAAGGACTGGAAGGAAGAAAAAAACTAGAAAAAAAGCAGACAGAAAGACAGACAGTGAGGACAGGAAGACACAATCAGCAGCGCTGCAGGCCACCCTCTTTTCTTACAATCACTCGACTCGCAAGCGAGCCTGTCCATTCATCCCATCCCCTCATCGGGTTCATATACGCGTCTTGCCCCTACACCAGACATCAATATAAACATGGACGCTGCCCAGCCAAAAAGAGGGGACATCTCGTCCCTATAGATTAATCAACTCTGCCCAGTCGTGACGATGACGGACGACATAAAGTACAGGCACGGAAGCTATGCCCCGTCATTCGTGAGGAGAAGAATCGAATGTGGCAACTTGTCAATTCGTCTTTCTATGCCGAAATGTTCTTGGTGGTCTTGTTTTACAAATAACATGCTTCATTTGACGTGTGTACGTAGAAAAGTCCACGATCCAAAGGCATGCTGAAGATGGACATAGCAGCATATCCACAGTACCGATAGCATGGTGGTCGTGGGCCAGAGGAAGAAAAAGAAGGTTGAGCGAGTGGAGTCTCCAAAGTCATGCCTGCCTTCGTCTCGACTTGTCACCCGGGTCAATAATCGTCTTCGAATTGGTCCTGGCCCATGCATATATATACATATATATAAATATACATAAATATATGTATAGACTTGCCTTGCCATGCATAGGACGGAAGTCTATATCTTATATTGTGGACCATCTCGCGTCGGCAAATGAACCTCGACCCCAGTGGACTTGGCGCGGAAAAAGGATAAAAGGGACTCTTGGTCGATGCATCTCCTAAAATAGCCTTTCCCCTTCACCCAGCGCCAAGGGCCTCTACTGTCTTGGACATAGTTTTGCAAGATACAAATATCGCATACAGACCGCATAACAATGGACATCGGCTTCGGCTCGGAGAAAAAGGACGGCATGCCAAAAACGGGTGCGAGGATCTGTGGAGAGATTGACTGGGGGCCACAGTTCCAGCCGGCGGTCGAGAAGCTTCGAAAATGTGGAGGAAGCAGAGAAGGTTAAGCCAACGTCAAGAGAGAAAATGGAGACGTAGAAAGAGAACCCCTGAAAGAGAAGAAGGGAACGAGGTGTGGAATAGGTAAGAATACGAAGACGAACAAGTCAAGGAAGGGTTCGGTGTCCTGATATGCTTTTGACTGATTTCCTTTAGGGGTTGTCTACCATTTTAGGGCTCTTGGCGATGAACGGCTACGACGCAACGAATGTTTTGCCGAGCGACCTTACGGAAAAGGGCTGCCCGTGTCTGGGCATTGGTTATTTTTGAGAGATCACGAGAAAATAATATTTTAGGACCGTTTTCATTTGAGTTTCTGGGAGACTTGGGAGCATATTTTCGAATTGTTTTGTTGGTATGCTTTGTTTTGGAAAAAATTAATGGAAAATATTACGAAGCATACACGGACAAAAAATACAAAAACGAAAAAGTGAAGGAAAAGCAAGTGTACAACATCTTAAATTCATCTTGATTTTACTTAACAAAATTATACATGTGCTGAGTAAAGGTATCGAGCAACAAGACGAAGACACATGCATACTTCATTTTTCCTCCAATTGAAAAACAGCCTCTGCGATGAGGCGAATGTCTCCGGATGAATGAGACGGGTGGTGGCCGGCAATTGCATTGTCTGGCATTGTCCCCCAGAGCTGATTTTAACCAAAAGGTATGACGGAGGGCAACGCCACTCGTCCGGATCATTGCCAAGCCACAATGCATTGTTCCGGGCACGAGAAAGTGAGAAAATGAAAAAGGCCCAAAACATAAAGGGACTTTGATTTCCAGATCGGGCATACAACCTCCCCTTTTTTGTTTGCACCTTGTTCGGATCACGGAACAGCTGGTGCCACACGTTGCCATTGAGATGGAGGCGAATGTATGGAGCATGCAAATTGACGTTTGTGAACAAACAGGAAACAAAACGCCGTTTCAATTGTAGACACACCCAATGGATCGAAGTGGTTTCTGCCCAACGAGACGATATGATAACAGGACACAGAGAATCGAAAAAAGAACAACATGCAGTGAAACATGGACATGAAGAAAACAAATAAAAAAAGAAAAATATACATTATGGCCACACATCGTGGTCATACGCACCGTCCCAGATAGGCAAGGTCCTCTACCCAAACCAACAGCTGTTCAGTGATGGCTTGCACCCCCTTCGCTTTTGCCCTCTGTCATGTCGACAAAGTTTACCGGCCCCCGGCAATGGCAAAGGCCTGCTTGACCTCGGCCCGCGGCCACTCGTACAGCACGTCGCCGCCGTAGACATTGGTGGTGATGCTGCCGATGCGGTTCTCGACGTTTGTGTAGAACGCTTCGCATTCGCGCACCACGTAGTTGACGAGGCTGTTGTTGTTGCTGTTGCTGTTGCTGTTGCTATTGCTGATGGGCAGCGACGTGGTGGAGGCCGAGGCCATCGTCGCCGCTAGGGCCGACGCCTGCTCGTCGTCGGCGCTGCTAAAGTGCTTCTCGACGCGCTTGCGGAGCGTCTCGATGCCCTTGCGGACCTCCTTGGCGTCGTAGCTCCCCAGTACCTTGTTGAACATGGCCTTGGAGTTGCTGGGCTGCGCGGCCACAGCGGTCGGCGGGCGGCCCGCGGCCAGCTGCGCCTCGACGTTCTCCAGGTGCTCCAGCAGGCGGCCGAGCGGGCGGCGCATGACGGCGTTGAGGTAGAGGCCCATGTGCTCGGTCAGCTCGGCGGCGGCGCGCTCCTTCCACTTGTCGAGGACGGGCAGGCCGCGCGGGTTGTCGACGTCCTCGAGGTAGTGGTTCATGTTTTCAATCAGCAGGATGTGGAAGTTGAGGGCCTCCTTGTCCTCCGGGTCGGCCGAGCCGGCGGCCGCGACCGTCATGGTGGGATTCTCGCGCGCAATGACCTTAAGCGAGTCAAACATGGACTGCAGGATCCGGTCGTACTCGTTGTCGACGGTGCGGCGCACGCCCAGGTGCGGGTCGACGTCGGCCAGCATGTTCTCGACGGCCGCACTGAAAAAGGGGAAGATGCGCATGAAGCCAATGATGCCCTTGCGCTTCTTGATTTTGACTTTGGTCTCCTCGATGGCGCGGATCTGCTCGTCGACAAACTTGCGGAACCGGCCCTCGAGCGTGCTGTGGAGCTTCTGCAGCGTGTTGTTCAAAAACTCCTGGTTGGACTGCGCCGTCTCGGCCATCTTGCGCTCCAGCGTGGCCATGACGCCGATGCCCTGCAGCGCCTCGGTCGCCAGCACCCAGTCAATCAGGTTCTGCAGGTCCTGCTCGAGGAACGAAAACACCGCCTCCATGGCGCGCGTCACCCGGCGTGCCGTCTCCCGGTGCGGCTCCATGGGCCGGTACCGTCGTAGGTCGCCGCCGCGGCGCTCGGCCGGCCGCGACGCGGCTACCACGTCGGCAAAGTCGGCCTGCTGCAGCGTCGTGGCGTGGAACATGTCGATGATAAAGTTCTGCTCCATCTGCACGAGCGGCAGCAGCTCGTCGAGCACGCTGGCAAAGACTTCGTACGGGTGGTTGCGGCTGTCGCCGGTGGTCTTTTCCAGATGGTTGCGGTTGCCGCCGCTGCTGTTGCTGCCGCCGCCGCTGCTGCTGTTATCGCCCAGCGGCGAGCGCAGCGAGCGGGCCAGGGTCTGGCTGCGCTTGACGGTCAGCTTGCGGGCCGTCGTGGCGATGCCCTCGTCTTTCTTTTCTTGGAGGGACGTAAACAGGAGGTCGCTGTCGTCGCTCGAGGGTTTGCGGGCGTTCTTCTTCCAGACCATGAGCAGGTCGCGGAACTCGGACTTGTAGACCGGGTGGCTCTTGTCCTCGTAGATCTGGATGATGCGGTTCCAGTTGGGCGGGTCGGCGTCGCGCGCATACAGGATCAGGGGGCTGTACTTCCAGAGCAGGTCGCGGCCGACGTCGTGGTTGCGCGGGTCGACCTTCTTGGCCAGCGCGCCCTCCATGGCCTTGCGGGTCAGCGCAACCGCCTGGTCGAACTCGGTGGCCATGAAGATGACGAGGCGGCGCAGGAACGTGTCGCTCTCGGCCGAGTACATCTCCTTCTTCTCGCGGACGACGCGCATCTGGCCGAAATCGGCGTTGAGCGCGCCAGGTCCGTCGCCCGCTGTGTCCTCGAGCTTAGCCAGGGCCGTGTCCGCACCACCACCTCCGCCGAGGGCGCCGTGGACGCCGTTGCCCGTGCCGTCGCTACCCATGTTGGGATTGATCTTGGACATGGCCTTGTAGAGCGTGACGAGGGCGGTCTCAATCTCCTCGATGCCGCTGGGCGTCTCGAGCGGCGCAACGCGCAGGGCCTCGAGGTCCTGGGCGGTAATGGCGCAGGTGTCGAGCAGCGACTCGAGCTCCTTGCGCAGCAGCTTCTGGTTGGCCGCCTGGACTTGCAGGCCCTGGCCCTGGGCCTCGATGTAGGCAATGTCATCCGACAGCGTCGACAGCTCGACGCTGTAGAGCGTCAACAGGTTGTCGAGCTCCTCGCACTCGTCCATGGCGTCGTCGATGCCCTTTTTGATGGCCTCGACGCGGTCGTCCTCCGCCTGGAAGCGTGACAGCCAGCCGCCGGCCTGGGCCCGGTTGAGTTCGCGGTCTAGGTCGATCTTGAGGTCGTCCATGTTGACGGTGCGCATGTGGTCGCCGGGCACCCAGCCAAAGTAGTCGAGCCACTTGGCGAACTCGGCGCCGCGCTTGTCCATGATGGACGAGTCCACACCGAGCGTCGCGAGGTACTTGGCGTCGTTGCCGGCAATGATGGACTTGCGCGGTCCAAGGTCGGCGGCAACGGCAGGTTTCGCGGCAGGCGCCACCTCCTTGGCGGCTGACTGCATGCTTGACGGCCGGCTGGAGTTGGGCACGGTGATCTTGACTTCGGGAATCGACCGTACGGAGGACCGCTGGGGTGTTTTGGGCGGAACGTCGGGGGCGGTGGTTGCGTCTGGCGCGGGATCCTTTGACTTCTCCGCCGAGACGGGCCGAGGAGGCGCGGGCACGACGCCTGTGATACCATCGGGCCCGTCCGGGGTCTTGGCTTGGGCCTGGCGCAGACGGTCGCCGGCACCGCCCGGACGCGGCTTGAACGCGTTGGCGGCGGTGGCCGCCTTCCAAAAGGCGTTGGCAATGTCGCCCTTGGACTTTTTCTTGATCATGGGCCCCAGGCCGGGACGGTTGTCTTCAGGTTCGGCGGGAGCCGGTGGCGGCGTGGGTGCAGACTCGGCTGGTGGTGGTGCCGACGAGGCGGGTGCGGAAGACGCTGTTGTCGCGGCACCGACAGCGGCGGCGGCGGCGGATGTCGTCGCGGCGGTTGGCAGGCCGGACGTCTGCGGCGGCTGAGGGAGGGCTTGGGTCGGAGGAGGAGAGGCGGCCGAGGCCGCGTAGGGTGAGCCGTTCGCATTCATGGGATTGGGGTTGCGTAGGGGTGGTGGGGCCATCTCGGACGTGCGGCCGGGCGACGAGCCGCCGTCTTGGAAGGGCGAGGAGCGATTGGAGCTGCGCGGCGGAGGCACGACGTTGCCGCCTGGCCCACCAGGCCCTCCAGGGCCACCAGGGCTGATGGGGCGGCCATCACGCGACCGCGTCGAGCTCATAAGCGGTGCAGGCACGAGGCCGTCGTCGGCCAGACCTTGTGGGCGCGAGGGGTCCATGGGCGGGCGTTTCCGTTCGGGTGGCGGCTTGGATCCGGTTCCGTCGGGTGTGATTGCGGGGCTGTCGGCCAAACTCGACGGGGCACCATTCGCATTGATGGGACCGTTGCGGGAGCGCGGTGGCAGGCTGTTGCTGCCGTCGTCGCTGCGGGCGGTCAGCGAAGCGGCCACAGACTCCTGGCTCTTGTTGCTGCCGGCAAGGCGTCGCAGGGCGGCCTGGTTGGTGGACCGGCTCGAATCAATGCTGGTGGCAGGAGAGGCCGCGCCGCCGTTGACGAGCATCGCGTTGCGGTTGCGGAAGTCAGCAGAGCCCATGGATCCCATGGATCCCTTGGAACCCATCGATCCATAGCCTCCACCCGACGACGAAGGCCCGCCGGCGGACATGGGCTCGCGAGCGGACAGCGGCGGCGGTGGTGTTGGCTGAGGCAGTGGCTGTGGTGGTTGCTGCTGCTGCTGCTGCTGTTGGTTCTGGGGAGGGGCTGGCGGCCTTGTTGCGGATGTGGGGGTGGTCGTCGCCGAGGCGGCGGTCGTCGGTGGCGGGCGGCGCTGAGCGCCGCCCTGGACCTGCTCGAGCTCATAAGGATCGAAGCCGGTCAGGAGCGGGACCTTGCCGCCGGAGTACTTGCCGTAGATTTTGAGGAGGCTCGCGATGAAAAAGCGCTTCTCCTTGTCGGTCTGGGCCTGCCAGTAGTAGGGCTTGCCGAGGGTGATGAGGAAGCCGACGTTGCCGGCCCAGGCGCGAAAGTCGGCGCTGACGTTGGCAGCGGTGTAGGACTCGATGGCCGACAGGTCATTGAGGTCCCAGGTCTTGCCAATGGAAAAGGTGCCATTGGGGTTCTCCTTGGACTTGTGGACACGGACGCGGCCCGACTTGCGGACGGCGACGATAATGACGCGGTTTTTCTCCGAGTTGGGGGTTCGACTTTGGGGCGGCGGGGGGGTGGTCGGATGCGAGGAGTACTCCTGGATTCTGATGTGCGTGATGTAGGTCTCGATGACGGAGCCGTCGTCGTCTTTCTTGTTGAAGCAGCTCTCGACGATGCGGCGCTTCTCGTCCTCGAACCGCTCGGCCCGGCCAATGTCGCGGCCGCCCGGCATTGCCATGGTGGCGGAGGCGTGGGGTCGCTAGTGCACGTGTGTTTGTGGGTGGTGGATGAGGAGGGCGAGAGGCGAGAGGCGAGAGTGTTGGTCAGGTCGGATTGAGACGAGACTCGCCAGCGGTCCCCTTCCTATCCGGATCAGATCGACGAGGCGGGCGGGCGGACGGGCTGCAGCATCTTTGTGCGCAGTCGGCGGGGCACAGAGTCGCGACGCAGAGTCGTGAGGGTCGAGGCTCGTGTCAATTGCTCGCGGCGATGCTTGGCAGCGAATGTCGTGATGATTCTCGCAATGTCTGTCGAGACGGTCGAGTCGTCGCGGGGCCGCACGGGCTTCAGGGGAATCGGGCCGCGCTGCAGGTCAATCGCCCACCGGTGAGCACGACGCGAGGCGACAAACAGGAGCGGCAATGCAGAAAGGCGAAAGGCGATGCAGTCGGTGCGTGCACAAGTGGTGGCTGTCGGCGAGGAGGTAGATGACGACGTGTGGCAGTGATGGTGGAGGAGGCGGCGAACGAGGTGGTGTTTGGCGGGCGTGGAGGGCTGAAAATGGAAGGGGCACCGATGAGGAAAGAGTGGTTTGGCCAAGTTGCGGCAGGTGTGTGGCACGCTTCGCTCGTTTGGCGGGCAAACAGGCAGGAGCTATCCAACTTTCCACGAGGACAGAAGGCAAGAGGTCAAACGGGGTTTAGCGTGGTTTGGGCATGGGGAAAGGCCAGGTACAGCTGGCATAGTGGCATTTTGGTGGGGCTCAAGGTACCGATGTTTTAAAGAAGGAAGCGTCACTCATTTCAGACATCACAGTTACCGTCTAATGGAGCCACCAACGTTCTGAATACAAATATTTCGCGTCCAACAGCTGTAATGATGTATGTTAAAATAAAGAAAGTCTTGTCTTTTTAGAAACAGCTCTCCTGTGTCGAAATAATGCTGTTCTAGCGGCCACCTTGCTTGGTTGTGACTTTCCCAGCCTCGCTCCTTCCATTCCGGTTTCCTTAATGCGCCCCTATTATCGCCCCGGCAGTGCTCTTTCCGGTCCGGTATTCCTGCTGTAAAACATAATTAAGTGGCTCGACCCGCGGGCTGGCACCTGCCACGTCCAGTGTAAAAATTAAATGTAAGAAATGACGCAAAAAGTGAGAACTTTTGTCTATTAATTGTTATATAAAACAAGGCGGCTGGTGTAACGGGCGACATGAATGAGAACCATTGTGGTTCTCCTAATTATTTGCGTTATTCAATGTAATTACGGTCGTCCGAAAACACCTCGCCGATATCGTCGGGATACGTTGTTTTATCGAAATCGTATTGTCATATAAACTTGCGACTATCATATAAAACCTCAGAAATCAATGTAAGCCCAACATTATGTACAGTAAAAGAAACCATTGCGCCCTTGTGACTATCAAAACGGCCAAGAAAAAAAAATACTCCCTGTCAATATAAAGAAACAAACAAAATGATAGCCCAAAAGCATGCACCAATACTCCGAACGTTGCCGATTTATATTCCCCCACGCTTGCCACCTATGTGTATGTACATGACACTGTCTTGCCGTACGACGTGGAGCAGTTGGTCATCACGTTGCCGTTCTGCTGCATGTTGATGATGGTCGAGCCCGTCACGCCCAGCTGCGTGCCGGACGTCTGCGTCACGCTGCAGTTGGTAAAGGTCACGGTCCCAAAGTTGGCCAGGGGCTTGAGGCTGTTGCCCGTCATAAAGTCCTCGACAATCCACTCGGCATTCGCCTGGCACAGCGGTGACGACTCGCCGGAGAAGGTGTGGGCGACCGACTGCCCGGTCGTCAGGTTCTCGACGAGGACGCGGCCGGACGTGGTGCTGCTGCTGGCGGCCGTCAGCCGGACGATGTCCCCGGCGCGAATGGCGAAATTGACAAAATTGTAGGAGTAGTCCGGGTACCACTCGTACCAGGCGTCGTAGGACACACGGGTGCCCTGGATGCTAAAGTCGAGGCCGACCTGCAGGATGGTGTCTTGGCAGGACGAGCCGTCGATGCCGACCCAGGCCGAGGCGGCGTACTCGGTGTTGGCGTCGGCGTCCTTGGGCAGGCGCGGCGTCGGCACGGCAAAGGTGCCCGTGACGAGCTGAAAATCAACGCCGTTCAGCACGGCACCGGCCCAGTTGGCGGAGTAGATCATGGCGTTGCTGCCGTGGGTTTGGTCCTTATTTTGGCCAGCACCGAGGCCCGTGCCGTTCACGCCGGATCCACCCACCGCATTGAATTTGTATGGCCCGCCCGGTTTATGATTGGAGCCGAGGTTGACATTTGCGGCCAATATGGGCGACGACTTGTGTGCCCGGGCTCGGCGTTGCATGGCTCGAGGAGTCCGTGGTGCGAGGACAACGGGTGATGCGAGGACAGAATCGGCGCCCAAAAGAGCAGCGGCCACCATAGAAAGGAGCCTCATAGCAGCGGGTGAGTGAGGTACTGTATGTTATGAAGATGTGTTTACACACTGGTCAAAGCAGAACACCAGCAGGAAGAATGGTAAGGAAGAACCGCGTAGAACGATGGCAGGCGATGCCAGATAGGGCAACACGAGGCCGTAGGAAGACAGATGGTCGCCGAACGTCAAAAACAGGCCAGAGACAGGAGTTTGAGCAGGACTTTAAACGATTCGGAAAGGAAATAAAAGAAGAGGCCGCGTGGCTAAGACGTCGATGGCAAGGCTGGGCAGAGACAACATTAAAAGAACATAATATGAACATTTGAATGGCGGTACGAGAAGGATGCAAAGAGCAAGGACCTCGATATACTTTCAATCCAGGAGAGGCTGTGAATAAAAAGTCTCCCAGTATCCCGAATCCAAAGAAAAGACGGGGTCTAGGCGGCTTGGTCGGCGGGTCCAGCAGACCCGAGAACGAGAGAAGCATCGACATCGAGCAGCGAGAGTGGAACAAGTGAGACACATGAGCTCCGTGACGGTCTAGACGATATGGGTGGATGCGGTGGAGAAAGGGATCGTGGAAGCAAGTAAATCAAAGGCTGCAACGGCATGGCATGGGAGGTGGTTGACAACGGCATCGGAGGTAAGGAAGGGAGTACGCGTGTCCGTGGCTGTGAAAAAATGGACGAGGCTGGTCTCATGGAGAAACTGTTTTTGAATCCCCCGGAATTATGTACTGTCTGGCCACATTTTTGTGTTTTTTATACGACATACATTTGGCAACAAAGGTCAGATAATGCGTTGTGGACGGACACGAACTCGAAGTGCATCTAAAGGTCTACAACTTCATGCTGCGGAATTCACTACTGATGATGGTTCGTAGAAAGGAGGAGTAGTAAAAGGACGTAGTGTCATGAAGAGAAAGGCGGAAAGAGACGAAGCAAGAGAAAGAGTGGACATGAAGACCTGCCAGATATCACAGGTTGGAAAAAAACAGAATGGCAAAACATGCCAGCAAAAGGTCGGTGATCTCAGGGGTCAACAACAAATCGTTTTGTTTTACAGCGCCAAATTGGCCGCTGTGTTTGCAAAAGTAAACGCAAAGGCGCTAAACGACGGAGTCAGCCAAACTAGCAGGGATCATCGTTTTCAGCCGACTCACAGAAACGCAAACCGAAGCACGGCGACCGCACAACAGAGACTGGAATGAAGCAATTGCCGATCGGGCGCATCAACACGGGCTGGGAAATGGGGAAGATGCGGCTTCAATGAAGGTCTCGAGTCAGAAATAGATGCGCAAATGCTGAGAGAAATGAGATAATTAATTGCGAGTGCCCCAAACGACCAAAAAGAGTTGAGCGTAAACAATTGATTAAGAGTTAGCAGAAAGCGAGGATGAACAAACAATAAATAACAGTGAGTAAAGAAAAGCGAAAACCGCCTGCGCTGTCGCTCTGAGCAAGTGACGACGAGTGACGACGACGAGTAGTGACGACGAAATATCATACAAATACAAATTTCAAAACAATGACGATGAGATGAGTTTATCGGTGGCTGGCTGTGTATTCGCATGAATACGACCGGATGATTATGTAGGAACTTGAAGTGTGCTCTTCAGTGTGGCTGGCTGACCACCCCCATAAGGCTGCCCGGATAATGTACTCTGCGCAGAGGATGGCGCCTTTGGGAAATAAATAACTGTGCCGTACAGAGGCTGGAACTGGGCGTCCTAATTCAAAAGGGCTGAGCACATATTGAGGTATCATCTTGTCTGTCAGGCTGGCGAAGTCTGCCCGACTCCAAGTCTACGGTGCAGTCGCTTTCAGTGACAAAAATATTGAATAAAGAATAAAAACTACTCTACAAAGTAAGATATAAACAAGCTAAAACGAGTGAGAGGCACATATAACAAAGCAAACAACATAAACATAAAGTATCAAGAAAACCAGACATCAGGCACGACCACAACGTCCAAACACCCATGGTATAAACCGCCATTAAAACGAAATAAAACAAAAAGAAGTACCACATCACTCCGGAACACTGCGGATTTCCATCGCATCAAAAGCGCCGTCCGCCTACTCCCTCAAGAAGATGGGGATCCCATCCAGTGTCGTCCGGTTCTGTGCCAGTCCGTTGAGGCTGTCCCGTAATGCCACTTTGCTCTTGACGTCGTTGGCAGAGCTTGTAGAGTTTGTCGACTTTGTGTTGGCCGTCAAGTCGCGCGAGGGTACCGGCTTGTCGCTGCTGCTGGTGCTGCTGGTGCTGCTGCCATTGGTTGTCGACGCGATGCCTATGGCTGGCAAGGTCGGCGCAGACTCTTTGCTCTTGTCGCGGACCGCCCGTTCGGCTGCGTCTGTCGTCACGGCCACAGCCACAATGTTCGCCTTGCCCTTGGTGCTCTTGTTGCTCCCACTGCGTGCAATCTCCGTGTCAATCACCAGCGGCACGCTCTTGCTGTGGCCCGTGCCTGTACGGCTGCTGCTGCCACTCTCCCCGTCGACGACCTTGCGGGCCACGCCGCTGCCGGCGCCGTACTTTTCGCTCATGCCGGGCGCCGTGCTGTCGTTGCTGGAGTCTTTGCCGCTGGTCCGCCACG